GGCGGCGCCCGCGGCACGCTTCTCATCAAAGGGACTTTGTACTGATTCCTTCTACAAGTGTCAGCGTCCGCGGGGTCCGGAGAAAAGTGCAGCTCCACGCCGCCACCCGGAGCAGCTTGAGACGGTCCTGTAATCGTTAGGAACCACAGCTCAGGCACACCCAGGCTTTGAGGCTTCCAAGCGGAAGAGAATGTCAGGGAGAGCGAGGTGTGAAGCCGAGCTGGGATTTATCAAAAGTGGGAAGAGAAGCCCTCAGTTTAAGAGTGAAGCACGCGGGAGAGCGTGGTGTGGCTTCTCACAGAAGACTCCACTTCTAATGACTTGGTGGTCCTTGTTCGAGAGGTCTCCACAGGACCTCAGTCTCCATTCCTGTTCTCCTCTTCTATGATGATAATAAGGATCCTTGAATAGGATAAAACCAGGAACGACTAGGCTTGAGCAAGGGGTTACAGTGTGTCCTTCTGCAAAGAAGTTTCCAGTGAAACGCCTAGAAAAATTAAAGGTTTACTGCACAGAAGGAAGAAAGGCCTTAAAAAAAAAGGTGAATTTACTCTTGAGTGTTAGCTGGTGGCAGGATTCAACAAGACTCCACCTTGAGGGATACTTTTCCTGCCCTGTGTCCCCACCATTTTCCCTGCCTGTCCTGACCCAGAAATTCTGTACATGATTAAATTTACTCAGATTTCTTTGATTGAGGACATATATGAAGATACAATACCATTAGATATAAAAGTGGAATAGGTAAGAAATTAAAATGTCTTGGACTTTGTCATTTTTAAGTGACAAGAGTGGCTCTGAGGATCTGAACGTCAGTTCTGTTTCAAATAAAGCATGTCATACTTTCCAGCATATTTGTGTTTCAAACAGGGCAAAGTTGGTTTGCATTTATGTCTGACATTTGAAAAGCTACCAAGGAGAAATCAGCCTGTAGTTAAAGTTTGACAAAAGAAGTTTATGGGTAGACACATGTAGGATTATGCCATTGTGTTATAGTTGAGCACTAAACAAACCAGAAAGTTGTTTTATATATCAGGGTGACCCAGTTTTCAAATGGGTTGCTTATCAATATTTGGAACCCTTCTTCCATAGATTCTTCAAATTGAATCATATAACATATGTAGTGAATTTCATTTGTGGGTTTAGGGGAAAGAAAAAAAAGAAAAGGTGACAGAAGATTCATTTTTGTTTTGTAGAATTGAGGCAACTCTCAGTAGAATATGGCAAAAAATAAGTTTTTGATTAACCTGATCAATTGCATTTTTCTTTTATAGTTATCATTATTTTGTGTGTATAGTTATTTTTCTTTATATTTATAGTTATTAGATACATGTGCATGCTTGTCACATGCACCTATGGAGGTCAAAGGACAACTTGAGGAGTCAGTTCTCTCCTTTCTTCATGTGGGTCCTGGGGACTGAACTCAGGTCTTCTGACTTTGCAGCAAGTGCCTGTACCTACTGCTAAGCCATCCTGAAGCCCCCTCTACCCAATCAATTAAGATAATGTAGTTGACTGAGCACATAGTCTGTGTAAGCTATGACTTGAGGAGGCACAAAGGATTCAAAGACAAGAAAGCCACAGAAGTTGTGGGATCCCCCAAAGTGCATATGATGTTTGGGGCACATGTTGAAAGGCAGGGCACACAGTCTGAGCTCTTTGCCTAAGAACAGGAAAGATGAATGGGCTGGGGTGTGATGGTAGAATGAATTTACTGTGGAGGCACTTGAGTTCCCACAGTTCTGCATGCTGCCCTTGTGGCTCTTCTCCTCCTGCTTTACTTCACTCTTTCCTTCCCAGAGTACTCCTGTACTCTTCTTTTCTTAGCCAAATTTCGTTTTCTACTGTGAAGACCATCTCATGTAACGGGGAGGAGAGAAACATTCTTACTAGATACATTTTGACATTTTATATTCAGTAGTGATTCATGTCAACTATTGTAAGAAGCTGAGAATACAGATGTGATGAGTATAAATGGTGGATGTTGTGTCCCACTGAGGCAAATCAGATAAAGTGACATACTGACTCACAGATAGTCAATGAGCAGATATGATATTTTGTTGTTGTTTACCTTTTGGAGACCAAGGATTAACCCAAGACATTGTCCATGTTAAGCGTATGCTGTCATGCTTTGATGTATGTTGGATGTCAGTAGTGTGCTAGACTTGGGTCATTGGTAAGAGGAAATCAGAGAGATGAGAAGGACAGCACATGAAGTCTAGGAACCTCTGAGGCGTGTAATGAAGATGATAGTCCCTACTGGCCTGTGTTTCTCCGTCCCATTAACTGTTGCCTTCTTGCTTTCTCTCACATCTGATGGACTTCTTGCAGAGTGACCGGCTGGCTCATAACCTTGGCATGCTACTGTTCTTTTGCCCTGAATTGTTCTTCTTCCAGACGGGTGTATGGTTCATGGCAACACCTCACTGATGCCTTGGACTAAGTGTTACATTACACCTTCCCAGGAAGGACTTGCTCCACCTCTCTCAAATCCTGTTCTGCCTTTTCAGGGAGGACCTGCCACCCTGTTTAAGAGACATTGTAAATGGGACACCCGTTTCTTTGACTTCCTTCTTAACACAAGCACCAGCCCTCATAATTGGATCTAAAAATAAATCTCTATATTGTTTGTCTTACCTGTTTCCTCTCCCACCCACTACCATTAAAGCAGGTGGAGACCTTTCTTTCTTTCTTTCTTTCTTTCTTTCTTTCTTTCTTTCTTTCTTTCTTTCTTTCTTTCTTTCTTTCTTTCTTGTATTGTATCTTTCTTTTTTTAATTCCTGTGTCCTAAGCACCTAGTTCAGTGCCTGGCATGCAGTGTGATTAAGCAATATTGAATGGATGAGGGAATGGTGATGTAGTCAGCTTTATTCCTGTGGAAAACTGAAGTTCAAGGGTTCCTTAAGAAAAGATGAAGACTTTCTAATAGTCATGGGTTTGGCGAATGCTGGTTACTTAGAGTATGACAGTAGTAGAGAGATGGAGATGAAAGGTATTTCTACTCTGGCTTTGCTGACAAGTATAGAACTGTGTCTTTGTGGGGGAAGGGGTGGCACATTATAGATTTAGTAAGTTGTCTATGGATAGTCTAAGGTTGTGTGAAGAAAGTTGGGGCTATTATAAATTTACTCTGGGAGCTTCTTCGACATTCCTGGTGTGATAAGAAACTCTGATCATCCTTCTCTACTGCTTTCCCAATGACTATGGGTAGACTTGCAGGTCTCTGAGCTGAGAAACCAAAATAGTGACATTTATACTCTGCCATGATTCAGTTTTGAGTAAGAAATAAATGAAACTGCTTAAAATTACTGCTTTTTTTTAAATTTAGGAATATTAATGCAAAAATGCCGTACGAAGGAAATGATAAAGCTGGGAAAATACTACATTGCTTCATCCTATGTGAAGTATATAGAGTCTGCAGGTGCAAGAGTTGTACCCATAAGGTATGCTTCTGTGATGGTCACTGTAGTTGTAAAGATTGGTCTTTTATTTCTATAAGTAATGCTTTCTTTCCTATGATTGCATCATTAAATGTAAGGATGTTGTATTTTGTAGATGAATTTTTAAACAGTCTTATTAAATAAGAAACACAGAGCCGAATACAGAGGTGAAATCCTTAGAGATCAGAGAACTAGTGATAGACACCAGCCAACCTTAGCTCACCATGCTGCTGTAGCTTCCCAAGAGAGCTGAACCATCTTCTTCCTGTCTAACCTGCACCTTTATTGCCCTGCGCTTCTGCCTTCTCATTGGCTCTTAACCCAGCCACCTCACTTCCTCATCACTGCCTGTCAATACAGACCTCCAGGTCTCTATGGTTGGTACTAGGATTAAAGGCATTTGTCACCACGCTTGGCTGTGTCCTTGAACACACAGAGACTCTGCCTGCCACTGATCAGATTAAGGGCGTATGCTACCACTGCCTGACTTCTGTTTATGGCTGGCTATGACCTCTGATCTCCAAGCAAACTTTATTTATTAACATACAAATAAAATATCACCATAGCATCTGATTTCAGCCATAAACTTATTGCCTATAGTCTCCCACTAAGTTGTTTATGAAGCTCTATGTGTCTGTAATGTCACTGAAAGTATGCTATATGTCTGTTAGCATATAGAAAGACATAATAGCTTTCTTCACCCCAGAAAAGACACTCCTCACAGACACCATAAAAATCGTAATAGAATCTCCAGTTTAGCCAGCTTTCTGCCTAGTACTAGTGTGAGGGAACACTGAAGGAATGAAGGACATTTTTTAGAAGATGGCTGTCTTAGTGTTGCTGTAGTGTAAATGATAGGTATTCTAGTTTTAAAGGTGTTAAGTTTGGGGTTGGAGACAAGCCTCAGTGGTTAAGCGCACTTGATGTTCTTCCAGAGGATCAAAGTTTGCCTCCTTGCACCCATGTATGGCAGCTCACAACCACTTGTAACTTTAGCTCTATGGGATCCAACACACATGTAGTGGACATTCACACACACACACACACACACACACACACACACACACACACACACAACTTAAATAATAATAATAAAAGTACCTTTATAAAGGTGCTACTTTTTTTATGATAATATGACTCAGTAAAAATAATATGATTGATCTCATACTTTCATTTTGAAGGGATTGAGTTCATCACACATTGTCACTTGAAGAGTTAATAAACTAAAATCTTGTAAGCACTTGCATTGTCAGCTAAAATTAGTGCATGAGAGTCTCATGGAATTCTCCTCTATTAGGAAATTTTATGCACAAAACACAGCCATTACAACCTATTTTGCAAATAATTACAATAAAGAGTTATAATCTATATATTATTAGTAGTCAAAATATTTGCATTTTATTTATGATTTAGAGCAGTGATTCTCAACCTTCCTAATTCTACAACCCTTTAATATAGTTCCTCATGTTGTGGTGACCCCTAACCATATTTTTTTTTGTTGCTACTTCATAACTGTAATTTTGCTACTGTTATAAATCTTAATGTAAATATTTTCAGAGCTAGAGGTTTGCCAAAGGACCATGACCCACAGGTTAAGAAACTCTGATTTAAGGTTTTATAAAAACAGTAGTCTTTATATTGAGATTCATAAGGATTGTCTTGTTTCACCTTTCACAGTTGATTAACTGTCTATACCCTTAAGGTTAGTGTTCAATTTGTTTGTACTGAATCTAATCTCATGTGAAATCATATACTCAAGTTTTAGAGCTGAGAAAGAGACCCCTGAGAGTCTCCAGCACAGTGTCTCAAAGTTTTGATTATGGAAGTTTTAAAATGCAAGCTCCGGAAGAGGCTAGTGCAAATGTGGGAGAGACATTGCAGAGCTGTCAGAGTGGGCAGCCCAGTTCAGAGGCTGCTGGAGAATGCTGGGTGTGAAATGAAAGGGGAGAGCCACTGAGCAGCAGTTGTGAGGTTGTGAGTTGATCAATAGGTATGTGTCCTTAAAAATCGGTCAAAATGATGACTTATCAAATACAAAGGGTGCAGAGAAAGAAATAGGTGGGAATGATGCCAGTTTGAAAACCCGGGGAGTATTGAAACCAGATGACTTGTGGAATATTAGCATTTGACAAGATATTCTGAAAACCTGCTTGGCAGCATGTAGGCTAAATTCCAGCTTTGGTATCAAAGTTCATTTTGAGACTTACTGCTTTAAATTGGAATCATGTGATTCTATAGTAACTATAATCTATGGCATGGAAATTCTTCGTGTAAAATGAATGTTCATTAGTCCAATCTTCTGCAGGCTCTGTGCAGATCATTGCAGCTGCTGTGAGTTCATGGGTTACACAGTAGCCTGTGACATTCTCTGGAAGAGCAGCAAGAACTTTGAACTGTTGAGCCATTTCTTTATCCTCATAAAGCTTTTAAAATTTTTGTCTTTATATAAAATGGCTGAATATTTTTAGGTTTCTTGGCTAACAGATACTGTTAGTGTTGTTCATTGTTTGATATATTAGCATCTACTTTAAAATATTTCATTAAATCCCAGAAAAACAAATTTTCCTTTCTGATTATCTAACCAGGGTATAATTTTGAGATTTTCATAGCTTGACAAGAATACCTCTAATGTAGAGATGCAATGTTGTTTGATAGTTAGGCAAAAGTGCTGTAGTGTTTGCCCTGTATGTTCAAGTCCTTGGGTTCAATCCGCAGTACCTCAAACAACTTATCTTATTTTTCATTTATTAAAAATTAAGGTGATGACTTCTTTTTCCTCCGGCTTCAGAAATTGATTTTTATTTGTAAAACTGTTTTTATTGTTTTCAGGCTTGATCTTACACATATAGAATATGCAGAACTTTTCAAATCTCTTAATGGGTAAGTTGTCATGATATTGTATCAGGTCTTAATACAGTGTGTCAGTGAGCACACATCACAGCTTTGCAAAATGTCTATGTAAGTACTGTATGTTTCTACAGAGCTATCTTAAAACTTTCTGTTCATTTCCTAAGCGCTCTTGTTGAAATGTTTTGAAGGGAGATGTAAAGCTCCAGTAAAGAGTGAGAGGCAGCACACGGCAGGCCTGTTATGTAATTCCAGTTCCTAGGGAGGCTGCGGGAAGAGAGCAGAAAGTTCACCAGTCTGAGAAAGAAAACAAAGAGAGAGAGAGCTGAGAGTGCAGCTCAGTGGTAGAGCACTCGCCTGGTCTGCGCAAGGCTCTAGGCCTTGTCCTGGTGCTGAGTAGGGAGCAAGTAGGAAATATGTAATTGTTACATAACAGGCCCATTTGTTTTATCGTAATCTTTGTTTAAATGCTTAAATATTTTGAAATTTCAAACTCCTATGTCTGATCTGAGGTTGCTGATTATCTTTTAGAGGTAATTTGAATAGTACTTAGAAAAAAATTTCTTCTCTGCTTCACCATAAAATACGTGAATAGTTAGCCCACAGAACAGGATTTGAAATCAAATGAAAATTACCCTTTATTGCTCTCGGCTTAAGGAAGTTCACTGACCTCCTCCCAAAGACTGACACTTTCTCCACAGCACAGGCGCTGAACTGGACTGGTGAAAATTAAGGGTTGTAATTTACTGTTTCTGAATGGAAACAGGGAAAAGAAAGTACAATAATGTAAGTTCAAAAATACTTTCCCTGAGGTACCATGGAGTGGACCCCACACTGTTTTGTGGGCAAACACCTATCGGACAAAGTGCGGAGCCTGTCCTAAGGGAGACTGTCATCTGGGGGTATTGGTCCAGTTTTACTGGTAAAAGAACTGCAAGGTTCCATAGATCAGACTTGGTTGGAGGTGGCTTTTAGAATACTGAGTTCATGGGGAGTGGTCTCTTTTCTGCTGTGGCTTTGTGGCAGCTGTTTTAGCAGACTGGTGTTTAAACTTTTTCCATTATACTGTGAATCTCCTAACAGTGGAGACCAGCCTTGTCACAGGCTGATACTGAACCTGATTCACAGAGGAAGAACGATGTATTTCTTAAATGAAAAAATAGCCTCTGGCTGGTAAGATGGCTTAAGATTTGCTCATCACACAAGCCTGGTGAACTGAGTTCCATCTCCACATGTGGAAAGAGAGCATGTGTGCCTGTTCTCACACATCTCTCTCTCTCTCTCTCTCTCTCTCTCTCTCTCTCTCACACACACACACACACACACATACATTAAAAAATAAAATAGTCTCAAGCATAATATTTCAAACTCATATTTAAATATTTTTAGAATTTTAATATGTTTAGCCCAACTTTTGTTGGCCAGAAAAGTCAGGCCACTTTTGTATAGCCTTGATTATTCAAGGATATATTGAAGATTATTTTTTTTTTTTTTTTTTTTTTTTTTTTTTTTTTTGTATATTGGTTATTTCAAGATGTGTTAAAGAATGCAAACATTAACATTAAAGACCTGGTATAAAAACATGGTAAATTTTTTTTCTATACTTCATCAATTTGGATAGAAAGAAAGAGAATCTAACATTTATGAGTCTTCCAAGACAGCTTCTAGAATGATAATTGTGTGGAATTTCAGGATCTCCTAATATATGTTTATTTCTTAAGAAATATCAGGACTGTGTAAAAGCAAATTCTTGTAGATATTTAATTCTACTCCAAGTATGTGTTATGATTATTATGTGCTTTGTAGTTTCATTATCAATTGGGAGTTAGAATAGGTGTATATTTATAATTGGCTTGGCCTTGCTGATTGCCTTGATTCAAAGCCAGCCACACCTGCAGTTTTGTTTCCTCTTCATCACACTCTTTGGTTCCCCCTCCCCCTCTTTTTTTTTTTTTTTTGCTTTGTTTTTTTTTTGTTCAGGTTATGCTTTCTTCAATGAGAATATGTGCAAAGTTGTTAACCACAATAGTTTCTGAATGGCTAAGATTATGAATAATATATATGTAGTATATTATATGTGTAGTATATTATATATGCATACATACATAATAAGGACATTTTTCTTTAATGAAGCATGTTTATTTGCTCGGTGAATGGAGGAAAATACATCTTAATTGATTTTGTTTCAGAGTCCTATTTCCTGGAGGAAGTGCTGACATAATGCATTCAGATTACTCCCACGTTGCCAAAATGTTTTACAGCAAGGCCATAGAGGTAAATATCTGCTATTACTTATCACTCCAAATGGGTTGTCTGTTTCCATAAGGATGGTTATCTTTCATAAAGTGTATAGTATTGCTTCCTTCACAGTTATTTTAGCCTTATTCCCCTTAATAGTCAGACACCTGCTCTCTGGGAATCAAGTGTCTGTTTCCACCTGTTAGTTTGGCATCCTGTAATTTGGGAACTCATGTGTGAACCATACTTTGTAGCTAGCAGAGCCAGTCCCTCCCTCTGACCACCTCTGTTATGTACTGGGTATCGGTCCTCTGCTAATAACTCCCCTCTTCTCAGTTATTCCAGACAGATGTGGCTTCATCAGAGAACTTGAGCTCACATGCTGTGGGCCCTGTGTGTTTACCATGCAGAGCCCCTGGCTACCATGTCACGCCTCACCTCGAGCCTGCACTTCTGCTACAGCTTCTTAGATCCCCTTTTCTCCCTTGAAATAGCGTCAGCAACCTTTCATTTACCATCTCTGGCATTCAGATCTTGCCAGCCTCTCTTAAACATTTTCCTCAGTAACAACTTTTTTGAGATACTTGCTTAATAACTTTTACTAGCTAGACTAAATAACTCATGACCTTTTATACTCTTTGGGTGAAGACATAATGTGCCCTCAACTCACTCTCCTTTTCCATCTTGCCTCAGAGTATTTTTGAAGACAGATTAAGTAGTAGCCTACTTATGAATCTCAGAGAATTCTGCAAAAATCTGTGTTGCAGTTCTAACAAGCAATATGTGTGTATTGCTTGTTATACACACATGTATATATATATACACACAAATATATATATATGTATATATAAAGTTTGAATCAACATAGTTTTCTCTTTCTCTTTCATTCTCCCAAAAGAGTTATGATGATGGAGATTATTTTCCTGTGTGGGGAACATGCCTTGGATTTGAGCAGCTTGTCTTCCTGGTTAGTGGGCAGAACTTATTAACACCTACAGACACTTACTCAGTGCCATTGCCTTTGAACTTTACTACAGGTAAGAATAAGTACCAAATCAAATTATTTCCCAACAGCATTAGTAAACACCAAATATCAAGTCAGAAATGTTTATTGTCTTTGAATATTTGAAGACCAAAACTATGAGTTCACTCTTTGGTACTCATTTGTGAGGATGACAAGAAAGTTTGTATTTTGATAATGCATTGTTTCTAGTGGTCTCAGGATCATGTGATTAAGAATTCAGAAACCATCAGTTTCTCTTAGCCTCATATCTTTTCACTGAAAAAGTTTCTACCTCTGTAAATTCTTTCTGAGAATTAATCAAGATGATGATTTCCAGTTTGTATATGTAATACTTTAAATACAGATCTTATAAATATCAGATATTATTGCTATCAAGATAGCATTTTCTCTTTGTCTACATGTGTTGTTTTTGTCTTGAATGTATTGTCTTACACTTTTATTCTGGCACTAAACACTTGGAATTATTAAGACTTCACAAAGGGCTTGGTGCCTAACAAAACCATTGTGTTTGTGTTCTACTGAAAGACAAATCACCAGGCCACACACACTCTCTTGCTAGCTGCTGCAATTTCACAGAGCTCAAGAAAGTACTTGTATTTGCTTAACATATTGGAACTTCCATGAGCTTGAGTTTCTAGAGTTCCAGAATTTTTGTTGGCATTTCCTTTCAAAGCATAAGTGAATCATTGTTCATCTGGCTGAATTCAGTTTCACAAGCCTTTTCTATTTCCAGAGTTTGAGCTGCTTGAAAGTGCTCTAGTCACATGATCAGTCCCATTCTGAAGTAATGTAAGGGTTAACAATGAATCATCTCATTAGCATAATATGCTCCTATCACTCAGGAAATTTCAGTAGTTTAAGAAACTCTTAGTTAGAAATCTAGAACAAATTCCATACAAATTCTGGATCATTATGATTAAGTGCTACAACTATAGATATTCTCATTAAGGATTTGGGGAGGGAAGAATAATGGTCATTCATAGAATTCATAGAATGTCACATACATTCAAAAGTCTTATTTTCATTATTTCAATCACTGCAAGAACATTATGGGAATTATATGTTTTAGGTTGGACTTTTGGGGTTGCAATATAACAAAAGCCCAGTTTTCACAAGAAAGCAGAGTTATTCAAAGTGCTTGGGTTCTCAAAGGAGGCCTTTAGCAAGAGTGTGAGGCCTGGCTCAGCCCAGACCTTGAGCACTGCAGGTTTGTTTTCATTCCTCTGTTGGTTTTCTGGTCTGTGTTCCTGACTACAGTCTCCTGTGCCTCTTCCATTCCCCAAGGATGGGCTACTTCAAAGTCCTCTAGTCACATGACCAGCCCCATTCTGAGGTGATCCACAGAGAAACAATGCTTCCTTTGTCTGTTTCTAGAGTAGATCTTTTCGTTGGCTTAGTTGATGCTCTTTTCTCCTCAGTTGGTCTCCTTACTCTTACTTCAGTTGATTAAATTCATTCTTGGTCAGTTTCACACATGAATACAATGTATGTTTCTCTTACCCACACTCTCTCATCTCCCTCTTCTTCCACTTCCCCATTAACTGCCCTGCTTCCTACACATGCCGTTCCCTCATTTCTGTCTTTCTGATTTTTGTCTTGTGACTCACTGATTTTAACCAGGTCTCTCTCTGATCATGGGTTTCAAAAGATATCTCTCATCCCTTCTGTCTTCAGATTTTTACATCTTCTTCCTCCTCCTTCTACCATGTTCCTTAAGCTTTAGAGAAAGTGGTATGAATGTCCCGTTTAGGGCTGAGCATTCAAGCATCACTTACTCTTATCATTTGGATGAGCCATGAGTCTACGTTCATTGCACGGAGAAGCCTCATTAACTAAAGGTGGGACTAGCATGTCTACAGATATACACATAACTATCTGGAATGCACTTTGTCACCATGTCAATTTAGCTAAACAGCAGTAATGAGTTCCCTGTTAGGCCCCCTGACTTTCCCAACAGCCAACCACAGGCACTTCTCTGGAAACACTGTGTTTTGCTTGCCATTTACTCAACTTGATTATGTCTTATTAATGACTGTTGTTTGACCATAGGTAAGTGACTTAGTGGATTTTATTTTTTTCATGTATAAGTCATTTCTCTGCATTGGTTTTATAGGCCCAGGCATATATTCTTTCCTCTGAAGAGAGCCTCAAATCTAATCTGAGAGCAGTTGCTTTATTCCTGGAACAATCATGCCATTTATTGTACCAAGGGGCTTATCCTGCTTTTCAGGCTGGCATTGTAGTTTATAGGGTTCGCAGCTCGATAAGACCATGGCTGCCTTTTCTCCCTCAGCAACTTGCATGACACTTCCTGGTACCATGCAAGCTATCCAGTAGGGAAGAAGCTTCCACCCCAGTTCCAGCTTGATTTCTTCATATCTTGTATCCAAGAGGTGTGGTATTCTCAGCAATGGGGTCTTATCATCTAGTTCTGGTGGGCAGCCAAGAGGAATGGCAAGAGCTTACGTGATTTTAGGAGTCTCTTTGGCCTCCCTGGCCAGCAGTTCATAAGGCTGTGCCCCACACCTGCCACTGGGATTTGTAGGAGCAGCATGTCCTAGTCATGCAGAATATCTCTTTTCTTTTTTTAAAAATGTATATATTTTAAAAGATTTATTTTTATTCGTGTGTGTGTGTGTGTGTGTGTGTGTGTACCAGAAGAAGGAGTAGGTTCTCCTGGAGCTGGAGTTATAAGTGATTGTGAGCTGCTGTACATGGATACTGGGACTTGAGCTTGAGTCCTCTGCAAGAGCAGCAAGTGCTCTTTACTGTGAACCATCTCTCTAACACCGTGACTTAAAAGTTTTAATTGGTTTACAAAGAAGTAGGTTCCCTTGTGGCCTTTCATTTTGGTTAATCTGCCTTCCATGCCCTCTCTTTTTAAGTGCTGTATACCTTTGAAGATACATTGGAAATGCTAGGTCTTTTTCTGGGAACACAAACATACATATTTGGAAATCATTCTTATTTTTCAGAGGTTTCTGAGGAGCCAGCATTAAGATTCTCTGCCCTTCCATGGCTAGCCCGTTTGTAGTTATTCGTATTAAAAACTTTAAAAAGTGGTAATTACATCTGAAGCATATCATCTCTCTCTCCATGTTAGACGTGCCTTGGCCTGACTCAGGCACTTCTGGGGAAATGTTGGGCTTTGCTCACCATTTCCTCCTCTTAATTATGTCTTAATAATGGCTGCTGTGTGGCTGCAGGTAAGTGACTTAGTGGGCATTATTTTTTATGTGTTTAAGTCATTTCTCTGTGCTTCAATTATTTTAGATGCGTTACAGAGCAGAATGTTCCGGAATTTTCCTGCTGAGCTATTGGTGTCGCTAGCGTTAGAGCCTCTGACTGCAAATTTTCACAAGTGGAGCCTCTCTGTGAAGGTATCACATGATTACACCAGCAGTATCTCCCCAGTGAGAAGAACACTTTTACGATAGGTACAGAGTTGAGCCCTCTGTTTTATTCTCATATTTTAGAACTTTACAGAAAATTACAAGTTAAAGAAGTTTTTCAATATATTAACAACAAATACAGATGGTGAGATTGACTTCATTTCATCCATTGAAGGTATGTACAGCTATGGAGCTCCTAGACGTCATTTTCTCTTTTTAATTTTATAGCCCTCCTTTCTTGGGAGTGAAGTTATGTGACTTTAGAGCTCAAAGACAGAAGTAGGGTTATTTTTGAAGACAGAAGACCTATTCCGTGCACGTTCCAAATCAGTTGAGGCTTACCTGGGTAGTTTCTGGAACTGTGGTGAAGAAGAAGAAGAAGAACAGTGAGGACCAAGGAAGGGTGGGGATAAAGAGCTAGATGGAGAAAGTTGCTCTGTTTCAAGAGTCATCACAGGTTAAGCACCTTGACAAGCTTTTCAGACAAGTAGAAAGATGAGTTGATGGAGGAAAACATTTTTAGAAATACATTAACCAGGTGGCAAGAAAATAAAAGTCTTAAAGCCTGAAATTCTGAGAGTATTACTGTTGGTCCAGATCAGAGACAAAGACTGTCTGTATGTGGAGAGGCCACCATGGAGCAGGACTGCAGGCTATACTTGCCATGCTTGGCCAAGCTCAAAAGGCCCTTGGAATCCTGACCATGGAACTTCAAGGAGAATTGCTTGCCTGAGCATGCTAAAGGCATAGAGTGAGGTGAGGTGAGTGAGCCTTAAGCACTCACAGTGGCAGGCCGGTTTAGTGTTGCCTACGTTATACTAGCTGGGAATGTGGACAGAGGGCAGCTTGAAATGTTTACTTTATAGGTGTCTTCTGGTAGCACACATGTACATGGCAAAAACAAATCAAAATACTTGTCTTGGAAAGGACAAGGATCATCCATTCCATGCTTCAGGAAATTTCTCCAGATGAAGTCTGATGGAATATGAATGGTTCATGCCCCAGATCACTAACACACAGCAAAGCAGAGTACCATGAGTGTGAATTTGGAGAAACCACAGATAGCCAGCCTTGCACAAGCTTCAGCTGTTAAAAACTATGACATTCATTAGAATACCTTAAGTTTTAAAGAAATAAGGAACATTTGAAAATATATGGCTGGCTGTGGTGGCACACACCTTTAATCCTAGCACTTGGGAGGCAAAGACCAGTCTAGTCTGCAGATCAAGTTCTAAGACAGCCAGGGCTATGCAGAGAAACCCTGTCTTGGGATGGGGGAAAAAAAAACACAGTGTAAAAGAAATTTGAAAAGAATAAATTCAGTTATTAAAAATGAAAGAAGTTCAAATGAAGTCTCAAAAGAGATCAATCCTAAAACACACAAAGAGAATGAACTAGCACAGAAGGGAGATCCAAAGGAAACCTCCAGGACCCATCTTAGATGGCTGTGAAATGTGGTGGCACAGCGGTGGAAATCTGCCAGTGGCCTGAGGTAAGGCATTCCAACAACAAACTAGGTGCTGGGAACACAGGAGGAAGAGGGGCAGAGACTACTTGTTTTAATGTTAAAGAAGATGTTCAGGTGGCTAAAAGACCTTAGTGGAGAGTTGAGTTACTGAAAGGCTTTGGAGAAATAAAGGAGAAAGTGTCTATGATCTTGTGTGAGGGAAGAAGTTTTCAGGACAAGAAGAAACGTAAGCCACACATGAAAAGACAGGGAAATTCAACTGAATTAAACAGTTATATATGAAGAGAGAGGAGAGAAAAAATATATTTATAATGCATATAGCTGCCAAAGGGTCTGTGTTTACCTTATAAGAAATAAACTCAGCCGGGCGGTGGTGGCGCACGCCTTTAATCCCAGCACTCGGGAGGCAGAGCCAGGCGGATCTCTGTGAGTTCGAGGCCAGCCTGGGCTACCAAGTGAGTCCCAGGAAAGGCGCAAAGCTACACAGAGAAACCCTGTCTCGAAAAACCAAAAAAAAAAAAAAAGAAATAAACTCAGTAATAAATTAAGTAATAATGTCTTATAAATAGCTAAAATCCCTGAAGTGGTACCTTGGAGAATGAACTTCTGTGTGTTGTCTATACCTAGCTGGGTGAGGGAAGTCCTCAGTGTAATTACTAAGTAGTAGAATGCCAGTGGAAGCATGAGAAAGAAACCGCCTTACATCAGGACTGCAAAGTGAAGACTGCTGATAGCAAGTTCCACCCATGGTGCTGCACCGGGCACGTCAGGTAGTTAGAGCACAGTGGGAGCGTCTGTAGCACTTGGACTTCTCTTGTAAAGCTGAACCTCTTCCAGGCTTGTTACCCAGCAGTTCTCTTCCAATATTTAAAAATGCCTTAACAGAGCTGGATGTGGTGGCACACACCCCTAATCTTAACACTTGTGAGGCTGAGGCAGCAAGATTGGTAGATCAGGCCGGGGCTATATAATAAGACTGTGTCAAAAACAAATAAAACCCAAATAAAAGAAAAACAATACCAACAAAACTATCTTAATGAAACCCTTTCATGTACATAGAAATGTGAATATAATTGTTCCTATTAGCAAAAAGGAAGACTGTTAAAAGCCATCCAAATGCCCCACAGTACAAGGAAGAAATAATAGAATACTATGCAGTTATTCAGATCACTGCATATCCCTGTGGTCCTCATTCTTGAAAGGACTTGGAAAACACTTTTGAGTTAATAAAAAAAAGCACAACAAAATATATACTCTATTTTTGTTTGCTTTTTGAGATACTCTCCCTCTGTGGTGCAGGCTAGCTAGGAACTCATATCCCAGGCTGGCCTCCGGCCTGCAACAGTCTGCCTGCAGTGCTCTGTGACCACAGGTGTGTGCCGCCATGTCTCCTCCTGTATGGTTATATATAGTTTTCATTTCTGTGATCTTTCAAAACATGATGGGAAGATAGCTCCATAACTCTTGATGGAAACTTGACGAAAATATTGAGGAGATGGACAATTGATTACAGTAGCTGTTACACCAAAGAGGGGATTTGGAAGTGTTGATCACACTTGATGTTTTAGTGTCTGTGATGCTGAATCAAGAAACTTATGGGTTTTACAGTTATCCCAAGGGATGTCATATTACAGACTTTATGTTTTGTCTCTCAGATTGTGAGATGACTGGATGGCTGTAAACTTAGATGGGCCTATCTAGGAGCAAAGGCCAATGGGGTATTTGGAGGAGCTGGAAACAGGAAAGGGACCCAGAGATAGAAGATGCTTTCTCTGCCTCTGTGTCAGGTAGACTGTGATTTGGTGAGGCTGGAGAGAGGAACCTGAGAGGACAGAGTCCTAGAGAGGAGTGAAGCACACTGAGGTGGGAGCAGAGGGTGTTACTTGGAGATTGGTCATGTCACTGTGATTTAGTCTGTTTTATGCTGCTGTGACTGAATCTCTGAGACTGTGTCATCTAAGAAGAATAGAGGCTTATTAATCTCCACTAATCTGGAGGTTGGTGAGTCCTGGAACTAGTGCTAGCATCTGGTGAGGACCTCCTGGCTACGCCGAGCATCACTGAGTGTCACCTGGCAAAGCAGGAAGGGATGCTAGGCCAGTTTTCCTTTTTACAGAGTCACCAATGCTGCTATGGCCTCACCTGTCTATCCTCCTCTGATTCTGATTCCTATAGGTCCCACTTCTATATACCATTAACAAGGTTTGGGAATTAACTTTCCAGCATCCAAATCTGGTGAATACTCCTAAACCACAGCATATTATCAAATCAAAGGTGGGGAGAAACATCTATGCAGGCAATTCTGCAATATGTTGGCCAGCTCAGGGGGAAGTGAGGTTATTATCTTCCCACATAGTTGCTAGTATCATCAGCCCCCAAACATCCTGCAGTAGAAACCACATTGGCTTCTCTGCCTCATTATCTACTTGTAAAAATTTTAAACTGATTTCTGCTTCCCAGGTCTATCTTATTTGTGCTTTCTCCTCTCTATCCAGACCCCTCCTAACTGCCCATACAGTTATCTTCCCACTAGGCATGGAATCTCACTGAGAAACCAATCTGATTGTGCTGCCTTAAAAAAACAAAACAAAACAAAAACCCTCAATGGTTCTTCACTATTGGAAGACAAATCTAGATTTACCTGAGCTGCTTTCCCTGCAGATTGTGTCCCCTTGAGATTTGTGCAGCCCATTGCTGCCCTCTACAGACAGAGCAGTGCTTTCCACCTCTCTGTTCTCCCATATTTTCCCATGTCATCAAAAGCTCCTCCTGTCCCTGATGTCTTCTGATGAGCTTTCAACTACCTTGAGAGACTCAAGCTAGCTCTCTCAACTTTGTGAAGCCTTCTTCATCAATCTCCTCTCCATGTCTTGGTAATCTGTATGTTTGCTTTGTGTTCCTTGGGAGCGTTGCTTTTTGCTTATATTTGTTCAAGCTCCATCTTTCCCTCTAGACTAAGAGCCCATTGAGAACTGGAGTTTTGTCTTACTTTTCTGTCTCTGGGGCTTTGGGGAAAACAAGCGATGGGTGAATGACCATTTAAACAATAGTATAGGGTTGGGAACTAGAGGTTTGGGTTCCTTGGTTCTTCTGACGATGTCATCACACCAGGTTCATGTGAAGATTTCAGAGCCTGATGATTTTATGACAGCTGTGAGTTAGGACCCATTGATGCTCTGCTGCTTGCATAATTTCATTTCCCTCTTGACGATCTTATTCTAAATTAGTGATGCAGGTTATAATTTGTACAGTTGCAAAGAAATGTCACGGGGCTCTCAGTACCAGTTTTCTAAAGGGGAAGCCTTACTTGTTTCTGAATGTCAGCGTCTCTGTGTGTGTGTGTGTGTGTGTGTGTGTGTGTGTGTGTGTGTGTGTGTTGGGTTATCAGTAAATCCCCACTTAGGCATTTCTATCCTCAGCCTTGCCCTTGCCTGTGGGTCATCCCAGAATGGAGAAAGCCAGTGCAGCAGCATGAGAGGAAGAATAAGGCCGAGGGAGTGAGGGGCTCTGTGTCTAGAGCTGCTTGCTGGCAGGCTTTGCTTCTTGTGGACTCCAGTATGATTGGGACGATGGCGTTACTTTGCCTCAACCCACTATGCAAGTGGGAGAGACTAGTGAGTCGGGTGTGAGAGGAAGGTACTCTTTCTCTGGATGGCTGTGTTCTCCAAGTGCTTGCTGGGAACCATCATGGTCTCCGTTCTAAAGCGTTGATGGGAGAGGGGAGAGATTACTTTCTATTAAAACAAGGAAAGACACATGTGAATAAAAGAGAAGACTTGTTAATTTTCAGAGACATATACCTTCTTAAAAAACTGTGGAACTTTTAAAGCATGTAGGAAAAATGAGGAAGTAATACATGAAATTTTCTCAGGTTTAACCAGTCAACATGCAAATGGCCATTCTTTTATATGACTTTCTTCCCACACTGAACTATTTTTCAATCAAATCTAAGGATGTAAATAATTTTATTTAGCTAAGACTATGTATAGTATCTAAGAGTTCTAAAAATAATTGAATTATAATCACCAAGGGTACAAATGTTTTTAAACTATTAAAATTTATTTTAACAATAGTTTTCCTAAAGTCACTAGTTATTCCATAGAATGATGGCATGGTTTGTTTTTATTTTCTTAAGTCATTATGGGATTAGAAAATGTATGAAGAGGGGTAAGATATAGACCTAGAAATGTGTGTCACCATCTAAGTGTGCACTCAGGCCTGAAGATACAAGTCAGTGGTAGGATGTATACTTAGCATGGGTGTGGCCCTTGGTTAGATGCACAGCCAAAAGAAACTGTTCACTTGGCTGTTGAGCTGGAATGAGTCCCAGGCCAAACTGTTTTACTTTACTCTCATTTCCTGGAAATGCAACTTACATTCACATTCTAAGGATGCAAGTCAGTGAGATACACTGAATACGAGCAGTCCTTTGTGTGAGAGAATATATACAATGCTGACACTTTCAAATTCTGGTGAGTTGTAATATGATTTATGTGGCATGTGCATGGCATGAAACAATGTAGGAATGCCAGAGTAAACCACTTTTTTTGTGCTTACTGATGTGTGTTCTCCACACAGGATATAAGTATCCAATATATGGTGTCCAGTGGCATCCTGAGAAAGCACCGTATGAGTGGAAGGACTTGACAGGCATTTCCCATGCACCAAATGCCGTGAAGACTGCATTTTACTTAGCAGAATTCTTTGTGTCTGAAGGTAATGTATATATGGTATAATCTCTTCACTCCATTAGGACTTTTGAGAGAGAGTGCATGCCCTTCTCTGGACCCCTCTATATTTTTTATTCTATAACTGATAAATAAGGTCCAGAGAGTTAACTGGAAAATATTAAATAATATGAAAGCCTTGAAATTGAGATATTAGGTATTCAATAAAAATCAGGGCAATTATTTCATAGAGTCATCCATGATCTTATGGAATGAATTATTGAACAGTTGATTTAAAAGATATGGGGTTCTTCCTTCTTTCTCCTTGAGTACTTTCAGTTTTGATTTTCAAGAACAATGATGTACTTGCAACAATCTTTGGGCATTATATGTTATTTTTCCAAGACAATGATATAAATTGAATTATATCCTGTCACAGTCTGGGCCTTTATTGAATGTCTTTCTGTAGGCAGTGGAATGCTGGAGAAAAGTTACTAACCCAGATTTGCATGCATTTTTAGACTTTTGGTTAAATAGAGAATTCGGGCATTCATATTTATATCTTAATTGAGTGATATGGGTGGGAGCAGTAGAGGCAGAATGCAAGGGGCAGAGCATCATTTGGTGAGGAGTGACCAGTTGAGGACTGGATGAGCCGAATACTCATCTCAGTCCCAGCTTGTCCCCTGTGCTTTCTGTCTACCTTCTTGCCCATATTAGGAACCTAACAACCTCTATCTGGTTTATTTGTGTTTGAAATATATAGTTGAATGGAGGAATTCATGAAAAAAAATCCATTTGTGTTTGAAATTATGTATAGTTGAATGGAGGAATTCATGAAAAAAAATCCCAGTGAGTGTTAAACACAACAAAACCATTCCACACATAGTGTCGGTCCAGTGGAGCCTTTTCCCCTGTGGGTGGGAGTGAACAGCCACAGTGGGCAGAGTAGACTTGGCCGTAGCTTTATCTTGTGGTGGTGGTAATTGGGTGTGTATCTGCCAACATTCTTTATAAAACTATCAGAGGACCTGTATTTACTTGGACATTATTCTCAAAGCTTAGTTCTCACCCATCGACAAGCTTTTCCCTGGCCTCCTTTGTTGAATAATTTGGCCTTGTTTCCTCTGCTGGCATTCACTTTATTTTCTCCACGCCTTAAACTCATGTCCTATCTTGGTGCAGGTGTACCATAAAGACAGACCACCACTGGATTCTGCATGTCTGCTAAATTATAGCTTTCCAGTCACGGGTCTGTGTGCTGTCTCTGAGTTCACCCCAGGCCTCCATCAAGTCTTGTGCACATCCAGCCTTGTAATGAACGTTGTACTGAATTGGGGCCAGTAGCTGTTGTAACAGCGCCTGTACTTACACTGGCGCAGCTGTCTTGGGGAGGAGAAACGCTAAGGCGATTTTCTTCTTGCCCTTGCTTCCCCAGCAAATAATTCTGATCTAAAGAAAAACTATTATAAAGAACTCTCTTGAAAATAGTGTCAACCAATCTTTAAAAAAAAAATGAACAATATTTTTCTCTTGCAGCTCGGAGAAACAATCATTACTTTGCAAGTGAACTTGAGGAGACAGCATCCTTGATTTATCAGGTTAATCCAGTTTTTACTGGAAATATTTCTTCATTTCAGCAATGTTACATGTTTAACTGAAAGTCTTCAATATGATAACAAAGCAACTTGGAGTAACTCCGTGATTGAACTGCTAACTCACTGCTCATGACAATATGAGAAAGCCACACAGATTCCTTTTCTGTGCCTGGTTCTGATTCTTCACTTAGTACATGATTATTTTTATCAGATTTTATAACTTGACAATGAAAAAGATAAATAATCATGGTGTTTTTCATGCAATAGCTTTCTGGTGTCTGAAGATTAAAAAATTAAATTTTTTTAAAATATACTTTTTGTGTGATTTATTATCGATTCCCGGAGAAAAAAACCATCTCAAATTTACCCATCTTATTTTGGCTAAAGTCTTTTCAAGTTCCACCTCCAGGTCCCTATGAGTTGGGTGTCAGGTGTGTGTGTGTGTGTGTGTGTAGAAAGATACATTGATATTTTTATTTCTGCTTTGTTTTAGCCCATGGTTAGTATACTGAAATCAGAGTCTGTATATTTCTCTTTTTATCTGCCACAACATGTAACAATAAACTCCCAAGAAATACTTGTGGCTATTTGTAAAATGAGCATCCCCTCCAATGGAAAATATCTGAAACGTACTCATACATTTATTTCTGGTGTGTTCCAATATATTTTTATGTTTGTACTACTCTCCTTGACCACTTCCCATCCCAAATATATCCTCAGAAGTCTGAAAAGTAGGTATTCCTTGGGGACCTGTGAGCTGCTAGGAAGTAAAGTTTTTTTTTTTAAGTTTTAAAAATGTTTACTCTGTGTATTTTTGTGTGTCTCTGTGTGGTGTGTGGGTATGTGTCTGTGAATGAACTAGCCCTGACGTGTTGGTTGCTCTGGAGCTCGAGTTACAGGCTGTTGGAAGCCACTGACATGGGTGCTTAAAATCTGACTTGGGCCCTCTCTCTGCAAGAACAGTACATTCTCTTAACTGCCACTCTGTCTTCAGCCCCAGAAGTAAAGCACTTGATCAGTGTCTAAAAAATGGTGCTTAGAATTTGTTTTCCACTGTTGTTGAAGATGATACATGGGAAATGGAATGACATATGAATGATTTTATGTACAGAAAAGTCAGAAGAGTGATCTGAATATACTATGAGAAACCGTACTCTCTGGGCAGTAAGAACAAAGAGAGCACAGAAAGCAAGAGATTGCAGTTCCAGTCAGCCAAGACAGCTCTGGTGGCAGTGTGGCAGATGTGGTTTCTTACTGAATATTGTCAAATGCCCCATTCCCAGCCAAGTTCATGTGTCTTGCCACTTAAAGAGAGGCATCTATGACTTAGCATTCCCGCAGGGTGTGTCAGAGCTTCATAGATCTGCTTGGCTCTGGTAGCAAAGCCCTAGTAGCTTTTCTTCTGCTTGCTCTAGAGCTCCCTGGTTTGTTGATGGTGACCACAACTACATGAACATGTAAATGATAGTTTTTCTGCTCATGTTAGGTCTGCTAGTTTCCAACTATGTGCTCTTTTGTTTTTGAAGTCTTTACATTAGGATCTATTCATTCCAAGAATAGACTCTTTCAAAGTTTCCTCCTCTGCCTTCCTCACAGCAATACGGGAAGGGTAGGCAAGGGCTTGACAGTATGTTTGAAAAGCAGGCCCTCTCATCCGTTCAGGTGTTCTTTCATCAGGGGAGCAAGAGACAGGGCAGTGGGCAGAAGAGCCTGATGATACCGCTAAACCATGACTGTGGAAGATGGAGATCTGCTCCTGGTGGCTTGCAAGAAACATGCTGTGGAACCTGTGGAGGGGGAGGACCATGTACTGTACTGCTATCAGGAAGGGAAACACAGGCTGAAAAGAAAAGTGAGGTGGTGTGTGTGGACTACAAAGAGCAACCGCAAGAAAGTGCAAATGAAGGTTGGGGGAGCTTGGGTCTGTAACATGCAATAAACACTCTTCTCTTAGTGGTCAGCTGATTGTGTCTTTGAAGGCTGTTTGGAGAATGCTCTATTTCTCCCTCTTGCATTTCCCTTCCTCTCACCTAAAGAATTATATAAATGCAGTGATGAGGTTGTTCATAAGGAGCCATTTCTATACTCGTTTCTAGTTACTACATAGTTCTGTGGGCCCATTGCCCTGAATTTGAGGCCTGGCACAAGATGTTTTATGGGGGCTGTTGAGTAAGCCATTCCATACTCGAGAGGAAGGGAATCTCCTAACCTTTGTCATTAGGCCACAGTTCCATGGTTAGGATGGTTCTGTGTCTTCCAAAGGTACAGAGATAACTCACCAGGAATTATTGAAGCCTGAAGCCTGGTACAGAGTAGGACTCATGTAAGTTCCTGGCAATGTTAGCTTTGTCAGTCAGACACATCCTAGAATTATCTTAAAAGAGAGCCACAATTAAGGAGTTATCTAGATCAGATTGGCCTGTGGGCATGTCTGTGGGGAAATTGTCTTGATTATTAATTGATGTAGGAAGGCCCAGCCAGCTGCAGCAGTACCATTCCTAGGCAGGTGGTCCTAGGTGGGATAAGGAAGCTAGCTAAGCATGAGTCAGTGCATGAGCAAGTAAGCAGTGTAGCTCCAAGTTTTCTCCTTTGGGTCACTGTCTTCCCTCAGTGATGGGCTGTGACCCCTTCCTTCCCTTAAGATGCTTTGGATTATGGTGTTTGTCACTGTAACATGAATCTTAAAAAGTTCTTATTAATAAGATCAAACCCGGACCAGGTATTGGGGTGAACTGGAGGATCAGAGAACCAGAACAAGCCACAGCTACCTCACCTCACTGGTCTTGTTTCCTCAGACTGGAGGCCTCTTGAGTCCTCATCCAGAATGGGTCTCAGCTGAACTGCTGCTCAAAAGCCTGAAGCTTAACCAGCCAAAGTGCTTCTAGTTTCTAGTCTCCACGCCTTATATATCTTTCTGTTTTTGCCATCACTCCCTGGGATTAAAGGCTCACTTCTTGGGATTAAAGGTGTGTGTCACCATGCCTAGCTGTTTCCAATGTGGCCTTGAACTCACAGAGATCCAGAGGGAGTTCTGTCTCTGGAATGCTAGGATTAAAGGCGTGTGCTTCCACTGCCTATCCTCTATGTTTAATATTGTGGCTGTTCTGTCTCTGACCCCAGATAAGTTTATTAGGGTACACAATATTTTGGGGAACACAGTACCACCACATGTCACAGCAATAGAGATCAACTAAAATAGAAATTGGTACCAGGGCAGTAGGAATGTGGTCACGGTGAACCTGGCCGTGTGGTTTTTTTATGCATTTACACTGTTTTGTTGGAGGGTTTGGGAGGATTTTGGAGCTGGAAATTCCATCGAATGCTCATAGCTTTATGAGCTGTTGCTGTGGAAGCTTGGGCAGTAATGTTGAGAGAAATGTGGACTGTAGAGGTATGGTTTATAGCGCTTCAGGAGGAACAAGGACTTAAGAACTGGAATAGGAATCATTCT